ATATCGTTATGAGGGTTCAGGACCGTCACCGGTCCTCAAGGGGATCTTTTCAATGACGGTCATGAACCGTCACTGGTCGTTAAGGGGTTTAATGTAAGAACATTTCATTCAAGTCTGCAAATTTTACTTTTCCTTACAAAAAGAGAGCAGTATTTTCCTTAATTCTGTTTTAGACTATATGTTTACTGGAAAATACAGAGGAACATTAATTTCAAGAAATATCCGTGAGCAGGGATTGTACCACCTCATGCTTTTACTAAGAGCTGAATTGGAGGCTCTTTGTTAGTGCATTTTACCTTCTTTTAGAAATACCCTTGTTTTTACTGAATTGCACTATTGGATTTCCTTCTACTTTTATGTTTTACATGTGAGATGTGCATGTTCTAGAAATGCCATAGGACGTACCTGTGTTCCTGTAAAGACCCTGACTGATTTTCCCCCACATGCCCCAGGACAAGGATTGTATTGTCAGAAGAAGATGTATTCAAGCTAATAGATAGCTCCTTGTTTGTAAGTATATTTCCAACCATTTATTTTTCAGCCCTTGTTACTTTTCTGTTCTTTTTGTTGTTTACTGTCATTTCATATCACAAAACCTGTCTAATTTGGTGAATATATTAAACTTTCTGCCACATTCATCCTACTTATCGAAAACGTTTGCTGTTTACCAAGAACTATCTTTGGGACTGTCTTGCTAATATCTTATTGCCTTTTGATATTCTGCTATTTAGTATTAACGTAATTGCATTGTTGTTTGGCGCAGACTGTTTTTCTCCTCTTCATTGATATAAAAATATACTCACATAATGTGTGAGGTCTTAATACCCCATTTTAAGAGGCATAATCTTTTGAAATTATACATGCATAAGGAAATAGGCGGAGTATGGTTGGTTTACAGGTATAATATTGCTGCAAAAGACAAAACAACATGGCCAAAGCCTAGTGCAATATAGTTTGGTCTAATTAAAATAGACAAATATGTGATTCTAATGGTATGGTACTCACAAAGATGGAGCCGCTATAAGAGGCTCACCACAGGCACAGGTGGAGAAGTTGGAAGGGACCCCACTCCCTTTTTGTTGTTTTAGGAGCCTTCTTATTTGCCCAGTAATTCCACTGCACGTGAATTTCAGTGTTGGGAAATTAAAGATGGATCCAATATAAGAGGCTCACCACAGGCACAGGTGGGGAAGTTGGAAGGGACCCCACTCCCTTTTGTTGTTTTTAGGAACAGTGGCGTACATATCGGGGTCGCAGGGGTCGCGGCTGCGTCCGGATCCGGCCCACCGGGGGGCCTGGCCACACCTGCGACCCGGTATGTACCCACTGGGCCAGCTTCTTCTCTTCTCTTCTCGAGGCTGGCCCTGGTGTCACCTGGCGGGCGTGCGGGGGAGTTGAAGAGGAAGCACTCAGTGGAGAGTGCACCCTCGCGCGCCCGCCAGGTCATCTTCCGGCCCCAGGATCCCTACGTGGCGCGTGAGGGAGCTGAAGAGGAAGCACTCAGGGGAGAGTGCTCCCTCACGCGTGCCCGCAGGACCGGCCGCCCAGATGCACCACTGGACCCCAGGGAATCCCCTCAGCACTCCAAAAGGTAAGGCGGCTGGGGGATTACATTTTAAAAAAAACTGTGTGTGTTAGTGTTAGTGTGTGTGTGTGTTAGTGTATTAGAGTGGGTGTGTGTGTTAGTGTGTTTGTGTGTGTTAGTGTTAGTGTGTGTGTGTTAGTGTGTGTGTCTGCTAGTGAGTGTCAGTGAGTGTGTCTGCTATTGAGTGTGTGTCTGCTAGTGAGTGTCAGTGAGTGTGTTAATGTGTGTGTCTGTTACTGTGTGTGTCTGTTAGTGAGTCTGTTTGATGTCTGTTAGTGAGTGTGTGTTTGTCAGTGAGAGTGTATGTTTTGTAAGTGAGTGTGTATGTATGTATGTCTGTCGCTAAGTGTGTCTCTGTCAGTAAATGTGTGTGTCTGTTAGCTAGTGTGTATGTGTCTGTTCGTGAGAGTGTGTGTGTGTGTGTCTTCAGCACTTACCTTTCTCCAGCGCCGGACTCCCTTGGCACTGGGGATCCCTCCACCTCTCAGCTCCGAATGCACATGCGCAGCAAGAGGCGCGCACATTCAAACCGCGCACACATTCACCCCTTCAGCTACTGGGGGATGGGTGGTGGGAGGAAGAGGGGACCTGCAGTGCCAGGAAAACTGATTGTTTTCCTGGCACTGGAGTTTCCCTTTAAAGGACCACTACAGACATCCAGATCACATTAGCTCAATGAAGTGGTCTGGGTGCCAGGTCCCTCTAGCTTTAACCCTGCAGCTGAAAACATAGCAGCTATGTTTCAATGAGGGATAATCCAGGCTCTAGAAGACACCGATCGGTAACTTTAATACTCTCATACCATATGGACTTAACTCAGACTTTGAATTATGAGGTCCTGTCATGCGAACAACTTACAGAAGGGGAAAGCTCCAGGACCAGACGGTTTCACAAATTGACTATTGACACAAAACGCTATACTACATTTACAACTAAAAAGAGAACAAGGAACACAACGTTCCAAGTCCCTGTATAGCCGCCGCACCCACCACCTCAAAACCTCCCCAAAAGGGGGGCAGTGGCTGCAGGGGTCACGCAGAGACCAACGTACCAGTATGAGACTCCAGCTGTCTCAGAGGGGCTTAACCCCAAATATAAACACAAGAACAGAGAAATATGCAGACCGTCTCAATTATATGAATGAAACTTACTGCATTGACTGGAAGAAATATATCTATGTATAGTGCGATGTTCCAAATATAGAACCTGGCTATTAGAAATAATATGGTCAGAGACCCTAATTAAACAAAGTATATACAAATGAACCTACAATCCTATGCCAGCCCAGGGTGGTATAGATCAAGAGGTAGTAAAAAAGATAACCTCACTCCCCCTTATAATTAAGCTTTATTGTGATCTGCTATAGGGATAGGAGTATACAGTAGCTAAGTCTCTATAATCCATGCATCCTAGGAAGTATCCTGGTCACACTAGAAACATATTAAGAAAAACAGAGAGAGATAAGGACTGAAAATAGAAGTAAAAAAATCAGTCAAAACCAGACTGATAATTAGCATTAATAAAGCCTCTCTCCCTGTAAAGCTAGCTAGATAGGCATAGGAAAGAAAAGAAGAAAACGATATAAAATAAAGTTAAATTAGATGGTGATCATGGTGCTCCAAACACCAGTGCCCAGTGCAGAAAAAACGCCCAACGTACGTTTCGGTGCAGAGAGATGCACCTTCGTCAGGGGCCAACAGATAACTGAAGAGAAGCCTCTTAAATACCCCAATTGCCAGGAAGCATGATTACCTTGTAGCAAATGGAGTGTGGGGGTGTATACCTCCCCAGCTGCCTCTAATATCCTGGCTATTCCTCTGTGATTGCTAATGCTCATTCATCTGTATGAAGGGGAAATCCCTCAGCCGGTCACATGACCTGTGATGTCATGCGTCATGTGACGTATCTGGCATTCTCCTAATGGGGCGTGTCTCATTCATCATAGTGCTGCAGTACCGCCCATCCGAGCCTCTCCTGTCCATCATCCTCACATGGGTTGATCCCCTGTGACAGATGGGCGGAGCTAGGTATTCTCTGTGTATGGAGAAACCGAAATTGTCCAAATTAAGGCTCAAATTGATAAGCTGCATATTGATAATGTATCATTCCAAAGTACCAATGTGTACTATATAGGATGTACTGAATCAGCTGAAAATATAAGGCAGTGCTGATTACATATTATTCTAATATTGAATCTATTAAAGATGTAGTAAAGAATATGAGAGGACACCCCAATAATAAGAGAAAAATTGAATGATAAGGGGTCCTGGGATGTTGTTAACTCCCACTCCCCCATCCCAGGCAAGGATATAATATAATAAATATATTTAGTGTTCATAGGACCCATGCTAGGATGCAAACTTAACATGGTACATCCTGCCGCTATATCCTGTACACTGAGTCACTTGACAATATGGCCCTCTGAATGACCAGATATGGCTTAGTCCGTGAAATAAAAATAATAATAATAAGGCTAGCATTCTTTTTGTCAAGAGGTCTTTAAACTTATGGCACCTGAGGTTCCTAGTTGGTCTCCCATACAAGTACTAACCAGGCCCAAGTCTGGATGGCTTCTGAGATCTGACGAGATCAGGCATTTTCAGACTGGTATGGCCATTGATATTTTCATTCAAGTGCTCAGCAAGCTTGGTCTAGGAACATTATTGGTATTATAATCATTATATAGCTATTTCCTTGGGAGAATTCAAGCATTAGCAATTTAGTGGTCCTCATCCGGTAATCATGAGAATAAATTTATATGATAAAAAATAATATAAAATAAAAAATAATAATAAATAGAAAAGAATAGTGATAATAGTAGTAATAGTAATAAGCAAAGAATATATCCATTGTGGAACAAACCGCGCTATATTTACAAATTTACAAGTGTATCAGGCCATAAGGCTCACTCAGAATAGATTAGTGCAGAGATCACCCGCCGAGTACCACTGCCCGTATATAGGTCTGAGTCCCACACCTGGTATCAGTGATCTGCAATAAATGGTGTATATGAGAAACCTTCGTTAAGTCCCAAGGGTGACAGGGTTTTGAGCTTATAGATCCAGAAGCTCTCCCTTTGGAGTAGCTTCTTGTCTAAATCCCCCCCTCTTGGTCCCAAGGTAACCCTTTCAATACCACTAAATCTGATTCCTTCAGATGAGCCCCCATGATGTAGTTTCAAATGTTTAGAGATAGGGGTGTCGATTTGTCTTGTGGGGTTTACCGAATTGACATGTTCCCGTATCCTAAGTTTAAACATCCTAAAGGTTTTTCCCACATACAGTTTTTTGCACGAACAGGAAAGTTACTTACTTACTTTCCTGTTCGTGCAAAAAACTGTATGTGGGAAAAACCTTTAGGATGTTTAAACTTAGGATACGGGAACATGTCAATTGCTGAGCACTTGAATGAAAATATCAATGGCCATACCAGTCTGAAAATGCCATCAGAAGCCATCCAGACTTGGGCCTGGTTAGTACTTGTATGGGAGACCAACTAGGAACCTCAGGTGCCATAAGTTTAAAGACCTCTTGACAAAAAGAATGCTAGCCTTATTATTATTATTTTTATTTCACGGACTAAGCCATATCTGGTCATTCAGAGGGCCATATTGTCAAGTGACTCAGTGTACAGGATATAGCGGCAGGATGTACCATGTTAAGTTTGCATCCTAGCATGGGTCCTATGAACACTAAATATATTTATTATCTTATATCCTTGCCTGGGATGGGGGAGTGGGAGTTAACAACATCCCAGGACCCCTTATCATTCAATTTTTCTCTTATTATTGGGGTGTCCTCTCATATTCTTTACTACATCTTTAATAGATTCAATATTAGAATAATATGTAATCAGCACTGCCTTATATTTTCAGCTGATTCAGTACATCCTATATAGTACACATTGGTACTTTGGAATGATACATTATCAATATGCAGCTTATCAATTTGAGCCTTAATTTGGACAATTTCGGTTTCTCCATACACAGAGAATACCTAGCTCCGCCCATCTGTCACAGGGGATCAACCCATGTGAGGATGATGGACAGGAGAGGCTCGGATGGGCGGTACTGCAGCACTATGATGAATGAGACACGCCCCATTAGGAGAATGCCAGATACGTCACATGACGCATGACATCACAGGTCATGTGACCGGCTGAGGGATTTCCCCTTCATACAGATGAATGAGCATTAGCAATCACAGAGGAATAGCCAGGATATTAGAGGCAGCTGGGGAGGTATACACCCCCACACTCCATTTGCTACAAGGTAATCATGCTTCCTGGCAATTGGGGTATTTAAGAGGCTTCTCTTCAGTTATCTGTTGGCCCCTGATGAAGGTGCATCTCTCTGCACCGAAACGTACGTTGGGCGTTTTTTCTGCACTGGGCACTGGTGTTTGGAGCACCATGATCACCATCTAATTTAACTTTATTTTATATCGTTTTCTTCTTTTCTTTCCTATGCCTATCTAGCTAGCTTTACAGGGAGAGAGGCTTTATTAATGCTAATTATCAGTCTGGTTTTGACTGATTTTTTTACTTCTATTTTCAGTCCTTATCTCTCTCTGTTTTTCTTAATATGTTTCTAGTGTGACCAGGATACTTCCTAGGATGCATGGATTATAGAGACTTAGCTACTGTATACTCCTATCCCTATAGCAGATCACAATAAAGCTTAATTATAAGGGGGAGTGAGGTTATCTTTTTTACTACCTCTTGATCTATACCACCCTGGGCTGGCATAGGATTGTAGGTTCATTTGTATATACTTTGTTTAATTAGGGTCTCTGACCATATTATTTCTAATAGCCAGGTTCTATATTTGGAACATCACACTATACATAGATATATTTCTTCCAGTCAATGCAGTAAGTTTCATTCATATAATTGAGACGGTCTGCATATTTCTCTGTTCTTACATTTACAACTACCCTGGCCCCATACTTAATGAACATGCTTAATAATGAAATACGATCAGGTATAGTTCCACTGGAAATATTATTGGTATAGATGATAACCTTGCCCAAACTGGGTAAATCACCAACACAATGCCAAAACTTTTGCCCCATCTCACAGCTCAATTCCGATGCAAAACAGTTTGCAAAAATGTATGCAGAAAGGCTAAAACAAGTCTTACCACAACTAGTTGCAGATGACCAAGTATGGTTTGCGACAGGTTAACATACAGTACAGTACAATCGTAACTGACATCCTTTACGATTTAAAGGAGGGACTGCTCCATTTCAGCTTCAATCGATTCTGAAAATACATTTGGGTATTGAGCTGGCAAGTTCTAGAGAGCTTCCTAAGTAAATTTGGATTCCTCCAGGAATTCCTAGCTGTTACAAAAACTTTATATAGCCACCTGTCAGCTACAGTCCTGAATTCAGGCTTTGTATCAGACCTATTCTACATTACAAACTGAACTAAACAGGGTTGCCCCCTATCCCCTCTACTCTACTTGTTAGTGTTAGAACCATTAGCTGCAGCGATCTGTGTGAATGCCAATAGCCATGGCATAAAAGCAAGAGATAGAGGATGTAAGTTGAATCTGTTTGCAGATGACATTCTGCTAACACTATCTTTTTTTGACCTCCAACAGAAATTCTAATTAGCTGGCAGATCCCTAGATAAGTGTATCTGTTAAAGATCACTTCAAAATCTATTGAGTCACCTCCTCCCCATTATTTATTTATTTAGTTTCTTTATTTTTTGTTATGTTTTTAGTTTTGTTTCCAGTGTTTTGGTTTCTCTAATACACCTATACCTGCAGATCTGTATTGCAGAGACAAATGATACTATTGGATTGTAAATCACATTTGATACTTAGCTTTACTTGATACTTGATTTACTTAGCTCATGGTGAAGCTGGAACAACCAAATTTAGTTAACACAGAAGGCTATAGAAAAATAATAAGCTAAACCCATTTATTTACATTAACAATTGTATGTTTACTGAAAACACTCTCAATTTAGATGAAACTGAATGCTCTAGTCTACTTTAAATGACAGCACACCCCTGGTGGCATGTTAAGCATAGAGGGCCCTAGGAATTTAAATGCTGCACAAGGTAAAATAAAGATGGAGCACATCTACATTTGCTTCTTTGCACTTTTAAAATACACAAGTCTCTGTACCGTAAGCAGTGCCACCTCCTTTCACAATAAAAAGTAGCAGAATTTAACCCCTTAAGGACACAGCTTCAAAAACTTGTCTTACCCTTAAGGACACAAGCCATATGTTTATGTTTTGCTGTTTGTGTTCAAACACAATTTGCATCTCTATCATTTATTGCACCAACACATATTATATACAGGTTCTTAGAGGGCAAAAAAGGCTTTAATTTGATGTCACATATGAATAGATAAATTCTTACTAATTATAAAAAAAATGCCACAAAATGGAGAAAAAAAAAAAAACTAAAAACATTTTTTTCAGAGTTTTGACAATAATAGTGTGTGCATATTATGTCCAGCTTAGAAATAGTAATTAAACATAAATTAATTTGTGTGTCTTAATTTATAGAGTGCGTAATATATATATAGGGTTTCAGCCTATTTTGAAAGATGTAGGTCACAAAATAAAAGGACTAAAATACAATTTCAATGTGAAACAGTTTTCGAAGTTGGATTGGTTTGTTGTTTGTCTTCTAGGTTTAGTAGCCATCACAGAAAACAAAATTTCCAAAGAAAGGTATATATTTATATAAAGTAGACATCACATGCTATTTATCTAAGGTTATTTTTACACTTTTTACATTTCATCACCAATCTCTGCTAAATATTGGAGTAAAATTTTGTTTTTTCTCTATTTTGGCATATACGCATATAACAAAGTTTTTGTAATGTGTATTTCGTAAAGTTAGTGTGTGCTATTCCTCAACAGAACTCCATATTGTGTTCAGCTACATCTGCTGAGTGTAACAATACCCCCATTGTATGCCTTTGGCACTTTGTTTTAAAGCTACAATGACATATAAGAGACAAGGCTATTTCAGTTTCTATAGTAAGAATTTTCATAGATGGATTTGATGGGCCTATGTCTCATTTTGGGGTATTATATCAGTTTGACTGTTCAAATAACCCCACAAAGGGCTTCCACTTGATAAAGCAGACACCCCAGGGTATTTTATATGGCATATAATGTGCCTTAACTTGTCACCAGTTGTTCACCAATGTTACATTTTTACATACATTTTTTTACACTTGATATGTGCCACCAGGGCCGCCATCAGGGGGTGACAACCATGACGGTTGTCACGGGCCCGGTGGTACTGAGGGGCCCGGACTGCTCTGGCAGTCCTGGGCCCCACATTCCCTCTCTGCACACATCGATAGCGAATGTCACTAACTATGTGTGCAGTCGCGGGCCCCCCAGCTCCCTATATTTACCGGACCACCAGGGATCATGGAATCTCCCCCCTCCCTGGACCAGGTAAGAACCAGGGAGAGGGGAATAACATTTTTGCAATGATCTATTTACACTACATGCATACACTAACACACACACACACAAACACACACACACTGCATACACTACACTAACACACTGCATACACTACACTAACACACACACACACTGCATTCACTACACTAACACATACACACTGCATACACTACACTAACACACACACTCTGCATTGACTACACTAACATACACACACTGCATTCACTACACTAACACACACACACTCTGCATTCACTACACTAACACACACACACTCTGCATACACTACACTAACACACACTGCATTCAGTACACTAACACAAACACTGCATTCACTACACTAACACACACACACACACACACACTGCATTCACTACACTAACACACACACACACACTGCATTCACTACACTAACACACACACACACACTCTGCATTACTACACTAACACATACACACTCTGCATTCACTACACTAACACACACACATGCTGCATTCACTACTCTAACACACACACACTCTGCATTCACTACACTAACACACTGCATTCACCACACTAACACACACACTCTGCATTCACTACACTAACACACACTCTTCATTCACTACAGTAACACACATACTGCATTCATTACACTAACACACACACTGCATTCACTTCACTAACACACACACTGCATTCACTACACTAACACACACTACATTCACTCCGCTAACACACACACACACACTCTCTGCATACACTACACTAACACACACACTGCATTCACTACACTAACACACACTCTGCATTCACTACACTAACACACACACACTCTGCATACACCACACTAACACACACACACACTCTGCATTCACTACACTAACACACACTCTGCATTCATTACACTAACACACACACTGCATTCACTACACTAACACACACTGCATTCACTGCACTAATACACACTCTGCATTAATGAATGCAGAGTGTGTGTTAGTGCAGTGAATGCAGTGTGTGTTAGTGTAGTGAATACACTAACACACACACACACACTGCATTCACCACACTAGCACACACTCTGCAAACACT